GGACTATCACCAAACAATAATATTCAGACATGGATGAATAAGTTTTTTTGATGACAGACCCCAAGACACAAATCCTCACCCAAAAGGAAATTACTTTAAAAAAAAAAGCAGGCAGTTTAGTAATGATTAGGATCAGAATTATTATGGCAAAGTATCTGATTTTTAACCTTCAAATAATCTATTCTCTCCACAACTCTTTCTCTACAAAGGACAAAAGACACTGAGTAAACAGGACAACTAATAACTTAAATGAATAAATACTGAGTGGAAATCATATGCCAAATTTGGTCCAGAAATTAGTTTAACTTTTTTTTTTTAAACTCCACTGAACAGTCTAATCTGTTGGCTGGGTTAACCAACTGTTTGTACATAGTATAGACACAATTAGAATGCTATTGGGCCAACACAAAAAAGAAGATACTGGGGATATATGGCTTTGAAAGAGACAAAATAAAAGTACTATATCTGGTTTTATGAACTATAAAATGCTAACAAACTCATTATTTTGAGAATACAAAGAAAACATAAATCCTGATGATCAGAACTTACAAGAGTGGGATGTCAATGATTAACTTGATTAAGCAGCAAAGCAGTTCTTCTATGAGATCTTCGGAGTCAGCTTCTGGTAAGATACATCAAAGGTTCATCAGAAAACAGAATACAGGCACCTCTCATTCCAAAGTCAGATTACTCTTCATTCAAATACAAAATAAGAGCTATTATTGCCAGAAATGTGTTCCTCCTTTAATGAAACACAAATTATGAACCTAGTTAAGACATGTGATGATCAACCCCTGGTATAGGGATTCAGTGTCATAAATTAAACCACTTGGATTCTCCAAAACTTTTAGCAACTTTTTTTTTCTCGAAAGACATATCTAAATATATGTAGATTTTGTTTTTAATTGCACTCTGCCTCACCATGAATAGCACTTGGAAAGTAGTCTTCTGAGAAGAAAATGACTAGGAGGGGTACATGGTAAGAATTATGCTGTACAAAAGCTGAGTCAAAGAAAGAGGAGGACCTAACTTAATTCAGCAGATAAGAAAGAAGATAAGCAACATCTACTCTTACGATGACAGGAAAAGCTGTTGATAAACAGATTTTTGACAGAAAAGTCTCTCTTTACCAAAGCTGCCCAATTTAAACAACATGAGTTAACAACCTACTCCTAAGTTGATTTGTTATAAATGTCACCCTCTGGCTCACCCTCCCAAATGCAGTGACCCAGATCTGAGTAGTAACATTTAAAAATCACTCACTGAGTCCCTAAAGAGGATTTTAAACCAAATAACTTAGCCAGTTTAATAACATCCCACTAGTCAGCAAAGCAGCCAGAACAGCTTGTTTTATCACCAAAAGTGAAAGAACAGACTCTGGAAACCCAAAGACTTTGCCTGATTAAGCCTTTTCTCCCAAAAAGGAAAAAATCCTGATTTTTAAACATAAAAATGGTGGCAAGGATTCCCTACTCTGTATTCCAAGCATCACTCTATGACTTCACCTCCTCATGAACAAAGTTTACAGCTGAGTCAATTAAGCAATGCAACCACAGCTTTATTGCCACTTTTTAAAAAAATGATAATGATGAAAAATAGATTTAGTGCAAATGAAATGTGGCATTTCAAGGTCAAAAATATAACTGCAGTTCATGTCAAGAATGAGCATTTTCCAAATGAAATTATGGCCTTCAAAAGGCCACATCCAAGTTTCTCTTATTTGGGGGCAGATAAATAGTAGAGTCCAATTTCTATGTAAAGATCTTCAATTTCTGAATGTTACTTGGATTTACAGGGAACACAAGTGACATGCAAAATACTATTATTTTCAAAGGAACTTTCAAAGCTTTTGCACAAGGCCAAATACATATCTTCCTTGGTTCTAAGGAAGACAATATGGTACAGCGGATAGAGCACTGGACTTGGAGTAGGGAAAACCAGGGCTCAAGTCTTGCCTCAGACAATTACTAGCTGAAAGATGCTTGGGAATATCACTTAATCTGGGCAGACCTGCAATAGTTCAGGTGCAAGGGGCAGAAGTATCCTCTTGGACTTTTTCACTTTTCATATATTTCACTCAATCCATCTGAATATGCAGGGTAAGTAAGCACTCAGTTCACCTGGTCAGTACACAGCTCTAGGGGGGCCAAAGTTGGGTTTTCATAAGACAACAGAACAATTAGCTTAACAAGAGAAAATTATTCTAAAGCCAAAATGCTCCCAATCTAACCCTTCTGTCTCAGAAGGCATGCTGTTGGCTAAAAGGATATGGATGATTCAGGACAAACCCATGGACACTATCAGAAAAAGGAAACCAAAGGACACAACTTAGCATTATCATTACATCTTAAGGATAGTCGATTTTTGCTTTTATGAAGGAAAATCGAACCAATATCAAGAGCTGAACCTATGATCTAATTCATCAAAGAACAGATGGTTATGGTTTCGCAATACGTAAGCAAGATTAAATTACTGAAACTATTCAATCCACATTCACTGGATATGCCTACTTGTAAGTTCAGTGCAAACTGAACTCAAACTCAATGTGTCCAAAACATAGCTCATAATCTTTCCCCACTAACCCACTCCTCTACCAAATTTCCCTATTTTCATCAAGGGCACAACTATCCTTCCAGTCATCAATGTTCACAATCTCATTGTCATCCTCAATCTTTTACTTTCTCTTACCCAGCATATTCAATCAGTTGTAAGCATTGTCATTTCTGCCTTTACAAGATACATCTCTCCCCTTCTCTTCCCTCACAAGTCCATCACCACAAGCAGTTTCCCAGTCCCTACTCTAACTGGGTAGGTAGCCAAACATGCAAAATATCAGTACGATACAATGGCAAGAGTTTCTGTTATTGAATCAAAAGATGTGGGTTCAAACCCTAGTTCTGCTCTGAGAAACAACACAGTGAAGTAAATAGAGCATTACTTCACCTCTCTAGGCATCAGCTTTCTCATCTGTAAAATGAGCAGATGGGGATAGATTTCAGGAGTTCCATGAACCTGGGTGCTAAAAAAAATTACATCTTTATTTTCTTTAATCTCTAACTGTAACATATCCTTCAATTATTCAAAGACTCTATTCTGAGAAGGGGTCTTCAGGTCTCACTAAACTGCCAAAGAGGCCCAAGAAACAAAAAAGGTGAAGAACTCGTAAGTTAGGCTGTTTCTAAGCTCCCTTTTAGTTCAAAACTCACGATTCTACATATAATCCTATAACAACCTTGGGCAGAGAAGCAGGAATTACCAAAAAGGTGAGAAGTAGAGAAGAAAAAGAAAATGAGCAGCCAGAGGAAATAAGTATGTGATGATTTAAGTCAGGCTACATGCAGTAATTAAAAAGGGCATTAAAAGAGAATGAGCTAATTGTTATTTTCTTTAAATTTGCATTCACAAAGTCAAACTGCCAGTTACTCACTATTGCCCATTACTACATAGTGCCAAGTGTAAGTACTAAAAACACACCAAGAAATGACAGAACTACATTCCAAAAAAATGTTAATAGAGTACCTGACAAGCTCAGAGCACAACTTAGTTTTCTTGAAATTAAAACCAAACAGATAGCTGGCTGATGTTCACTATAAACCTGTATTCAGAAAGTCATATTACTATGTACTGTTATTGCCAATTTTAATAGTAAAGTTAAGAATATCTAAGTTATTTTAGAACATTTAATTTTAAGTTAATTTTTGTCCAAAATACATATACAAATTATTCTTTGAAAGTTATACCATATTTTAAACTATATCTGGAAATAAAATTTATTTGATCTAAAGACCTGCATTCTATGACAACACAAAAAATACTACCCTAACTACAAAACCAAGTTTAACTACTTTTGTTGTTGTTTTGGAAAAAGTTATCCATGATTTAAATGTTACAGTAGATTACATTTTAACCAAAATCCTATTAGTCTCACATAGGGGAACTGATTTCATAAGACAGACTGATTATACTATGGAGCTATTTTCTTTAAATATATATAAATTTTAAAAAATTTGTTTTAATTCAATTTTATTTTATTTTCAGTTCTAAATTCTTTTCTTTTCCCCCTCCCCCATCCATTGTAAAGGTAAGAAATGCAAAACCCATTTAAAATATGTATTCATGCAAAGCAAATTCAAAGGAAGGAAGGAAGGAAGGAAGGTTGGCTGGTTCATTCAATCTATGTGCCAAGTCCATCAGATAGCATGTTTCATCAAGAGTCCATTGAACCGTGGTTGGCCATTGTGTTGATCAAAAAAACTAAGTATTTCAAAATTTATCTTTATAGTTTATTATAAGTTTATTGTTATCTTAGAAATTGTTCTCCGGGTTTTGCTCACATCACTTTGCATCAGTTCATACAAATCCTCCCAGGTTTTTCTGAAACCATCTCCTTCATCATTTCTTACTGTACAATAGTATTCCATCATATTCATATACCATAAATTGTTCAGCCATTCCTGAATTGATAGGCATTCCTTTGGTTTCTAATTCTTTGCTACCACAAAACAAGCTGCTAAAAATATTTTTTGTATATACCTTTTTCTCTTTTATTGATCTCCTTGGTATAGCTGGACCAGTTCACAGCTTATAGAGTTATTTTTCAAGTGATATTTTTGTATCTTTCCCTGCCTAACACTGTGCAATAATAGCCCTTTCAGCTAGATTGTATCTAAGGTCCCTTCCAGCCCTAAATCTATGATTCTACAATTCTACAAAGACTTTTCATTGGGCAAGGAAGCAAAGATTACCAAAAAAGGTGAGAGGAAAAAAGGGAGAAAATAGAAAGGAAATGGGAGAAACAGTCAGGGGAAATAATTATGTGCTAATTGTATGAATAATTAATAAATTACTGTTGAAATGAATCGAATTATATCACTCACAATAAAACTCTAAATTTACATTTTCATTAATTTTTTGTGAACTTTTTCAATATAGATATTAAAAAAAAACGGCCAAACAAAGGCAAAATATTGCCTTTCTCCAAGCCCATTAAAAACTCTCAAGCTATCATCTCATTTCTCACTTTCTCTTCAATGTCAAACTTCTTGAAAAAGGAGTCCAGATTCAGTGTTTCCACTTCCTCTCATCTATTTACCCTCAACCACTTGCAATCTGGTTTCTATCATCACCACTTAACTTTGGAAGTCACTCCACCCAAAGTCAACAAATGACCCTTAATGGCAAATTTCAAAAGTCTTTTTTCTCAGTTTTCATCTTCCATGACCTCTCTGAAGTATTTGACATTCATTCATTCTGGACACACTCTCTCTTAACTTCCAAAATGCCACACACTCCTCTGGTTCTCCTCCTACTATTTGAATTTCACCTTCCCCGATTCCTCATTTGCTTTCCAACCCCTTAATATGGATCATCTGCAAGAATCTGTCACTTTCATGAACTATCACTTTCATTAAAATTACTCCCCCAAATACACCTCCAACCCTGACTTGAGTTCCAGAACCAAATCTGTATTGTCTCCATCTAAATGTCATAAATGTCTCAAACTCAACAAGCTCAAACCAAGTCTACTATATTTCTCCCTAAACCCACTCCTCTTGATTTCATCATTTCTGTCAGCGGCACCACTATTTACTTAACTGTTCCATGTTCTCTCCCTAATCTCCT